TGAAGTGGAATTTTGCATGGATTTCTTGAATATGTTTAAAAAAGAATTTGTGGCTTTTTCAGGGTCTTTCGTTCCCATGATTTCTGCTGACCAATCCTGTATTGCCAATTGTTCTTTTAAGAGGTTATAGTTTATATGGTTATAGTAGTTTAATGGTTCATTAGATTTATTAAGAGTATCAGCATCAGCATAGTTATTATAATTAACATTCAGCATGATTGGATAGTGGTCTGTTATATCAGTATTCAATATAAATGATTTGAATTTTAAATTGCTTATTTTTAGTTTTTTTCTAACAAATAAATGGTCAATACATGTAGATGTTTCATGAGTAACCCTGGTTGGAGAGTTTATATAGGATACAAAACCACTTTGTCCCATTTTTGAAAGGTATTCATTTACTATCGGGTTTTGTATATTCTCTATATTAATATTCAAATCTCCAGTGAAAATTTCGATTTTTTTGGTTAAAGAATGCTCAAAAAATTCTGTTAGATCATTAAGAAATATAGGTTCAGCTATCGGAGGCGGTTTATATGCTGCAGTTATCCCAAAGGATAAACCGCAGTGCTCAAAAGTTATTCTACTAATGGTTGCCTGTGATAAATTTAGCTTTACATGATTCACATCAATATTTAGCGTTTCTCTGACAAAAATTAGTAAACCATCATTTTTATTAAAAGCCTCATTGTTATAAAAGGTATTATATCCAGGTATACTATACATATCACAAGACAAAATTTGAAAACATTCACCCAAAATAAATATATCACAAAAGTACAGTTGATAGGATTCTATAAATAAAAGTAATTCATCAAAATTTTTTTTTGCGCTTCTGATATTCAAATGTAGTATATTTATGACCTTGTTTTTTAGTGAAATTTGTTTTTTTAATAATTCCTCATTTACAAGAGTCCCCTGTTCCTCCATACCCATTTCATCCAATTGCTCCAATATTTCCTCTTGTGGCGGTCTGAACATTATGAATTATATTCTATTTTATTCTTGAGCATTTCCAAATGATAATTGTAGCTTGGGCAATTAGGGTCTGAAGCCACATGTGACACGCAATACGACAGTTTGTATTTTTTGTTTGCTTCCATACAGTTATTGCACTTTTTTATTGCTTTTTCACATATTTCCATTTCATGATTTCCTGCACAATATTCACATACCTTGTTTTTGTTGCATTTGTTATTTTTATGGTAGAATTCCTGGCAATTGAAACACCTTGTTACACTCAAATCCTCGTATATAGGACAGCGCTGCCAACCAATATGTATCTTTTCATATTTCATACATTTTTGATACATCTCTCCGGAACTCCGCAAAAATAGTTGAATCCATGTTCCTCTTTTTCACGAATGTAACCTTTATTTCATCTGTGTCGTTAATCCATTCATTTTGATTTCTTATAATCTGCTCAATTTGTTGTTTAGGTTCATTGCCTTCATATCCGGGAATTTTAATTTTTGGTCTCATCATTGTTGTTGTAATTATTTCGTATTTATTTTGTAATACGCTTTCAGCTGCCCTTTTCAAATCCTCAACTTCCTGTTTGGTGGGGCATTTAATGACAATGTTTCCATTTCCTGTCGCTCTCATACCTCTTATACCAATGTTCAACTCAGAAGGATTAATCTTCTTGGTAATATCTTCTTTTGTCTTTGTTACATCTTGGATTTGTTTCGGACGAATAATCAGATTTGGGATATTGAGCCTGTCTTTTGCTGGCGGCCTGCTTGTTACTCCCGCATACGACTTTTCAGCATAATCATAAGTATTTTTATTTTCATTTGTTTTTTTCAATTCTTCAATTTGTGTTTTTAGCATGCTTATAATTTCAACTTTGTCATCAATATTTGCATTTTTGCTGTCTCTGACATCTTGTAAAAGTTTACATGTTTCAAGGTTTATGCATCTTGGGCAGTTAAATCTCATTACCCTTTTGCCTCGTAATTCCATAACTTTAACTTCCGATGCGGACAGGCCACCACATGACTTGCATATAGGATTCCTACCGCCATCACAGTTAAAGACTTCTTTTGATTTAGTCTCTTCGCATATTACGCACTCCATTTTAGGCTAAAATGGTTGTTTATAACTTTGTTTAAAGAGCGCGCACTGTTTTCTTCATAGTTTAATTTTTGAAGGTGTAAACCGGCAACACTGCACGTTATTTCTAGTACCACGCCGTAGCTATTTTCACTATTTTCGGAATAACTCGATCGTTACAGACGTAATTTTCACTTCCGTCCTTAAACCTTCCGATAATGAGATGATAGATATCAACAAAATTAATTTTGGTTGCGTTTATACATCAAAAAAACTGAAAATGTTTCAACAACGTAAACAAAACTACTGGCGCTGTTGCCAGCACCATGCCGCCTAATACAATCGGATATTTATCCTTTTGAATGTGAGACTTGCAAAATAAAATTTAAACATAAAGACGTATTGAAGAATCACAAACTATCACATTCGGATATCTATTCTTTTGAATGTGACACTTGCAAAGCGAAATTTAAACGAAAAGGCGATTTGAGAAGGCACAAACTGACACACTTGGATATTTATTTTTTTCAATGTAACTACTGACACATCAAAAACACATGATCCAAATATGTAGACGTCTAGGCGCATTCACGACTGGCAGCGATCATAGAATGGTAAGATGTAAAATAGCCATAAATGCCAGACTAGAAAGAGCAAAGAAATTCATTCGCCCCTAAAAGAAATTAGGCACACATACCAGGAAAACACAAAAAACAGAATTTGCAATAAAATTAACACAAAAACTCGCTCCATGAAACCCCACGACGACATAAATCAAATTAATTAAAGAATTCCTAACGGAAACAATGAAAAAACAGCAAAAAATATCATGAAACCGAAGGGTAAGCCAAAAAAATTTATCGAAGAAACAAAACAAATGCTGAAGAAGAGAAGAACTCATAAAACAAAGAAAAAAAGATACACCAGAATGCAGAAAGACCAATAAAATAGCCAGAAGGATGACAAAACAAGACATTAAAAACAGAAAAGTTCCAGGAATGGACGATATACTACCAGAAATGCTTAAGGAGGCAGGAGAATACCTTGTAAAACAACTTGAACACACAACAACACTTTTCAATAAATGTATAATATAGGGGAAAATATGTCACGACTGGGAGACTGCCATCGTCGTTCTGATATACAAAAAAAGGGAACCATCAAATCTTGAAAACTATAGAGCCATAAGCATCGTTTCAGATATACAAACTGTTTATGAGAATAACCACCAACCGCCTAGAAAAAAAAATCGATCATTACCAACCTAAAGAACAAGCAGGCAGATTGCAGAAAGAGCTACAGCATTTTAGAACGTCTTCATACAATAACTTCCGAATGCTTTATTATGTGTTTCTTCAAATAGCTTTTTCGTTTAAATTGTGCTCTACAAGTGGCACATTCAAAAAGAAAAATACCCGAGTGTATTAGTTGGTGACTCTTCAAATTAAGTTTTAGTTTAAATTTGGCTTTGCAAATGTCACATTCAAGAATAAATATCCGAGTGTGTCAGTTTGTGACTTTTCAATTTGCTTTTCCGTTTAAATTTTGCTTCGCAAGTGTCACTTTCAAAAAAACAAATATTCGAATGTGTCAGTTTGTGTCTTATCAAATTGTTTTTTCGTTTAAATTTTGCTTTGCAAGTGTCACATTCAAAAGTATATATCCGAATCAAGATGTGTTTATGAAACTTCATTGAGGAAAGGAGTTTATGACAGATGCGCAAACAAAACTCCTACAAGTATCTAGGACAGGAAATAACGCTTAGCAAAGTCAATTAAGTGCTTGAAATTAATAGGAAAATACGCTTCGGATAGGCGGCCTATGGTAAAATGCGCCACATATTCCAGTCCAAGTTACCTTTGAAGCTGAAAACTAAAGTCTGCAACGAATGTATTCTACCAGTAGTTGCCTATGGAAGCGAAACATGAACGCTCACAAAGAAAATCCTAAATAAGCTGCAAGTACATCAGAGAAAAATTAACAGGAGAATGATAGGTATTACACTAAGGGATCAGAAGACCAACGAGTGGATAAGAAACATAACAAAGGTCGAAGATATCACACACAGAATATGCTGCATCCTCAAATGAAACTGGGCCGGTCACGTAGCGAGAAATACAAGCAACAACTGGAGCGGAAAAGTAACAATTAGAGACCTGGGGGGAACGAAGAAGCGCCGGCAGACCTCAACAAGGCTGGTCCTCGAAATTAGGCGAATAGCAAGTCTAAACTAGGTCGCACAGAATAGAAATACCTGACAAAATCTGAGAGAGGCCTATATTTGGAGGATAGAGAACCACTAGGAAGAAGAGATTCCAAGAATAATGCTCCAACGCCAGTTGGAAAAAGATAAGGACAATGAACATACGATGCCTAAAATATCACACATGGCATTTTACTTACCAATCGGGCGAGGAAAAATCAGAGAAATCGTGGTGCCAAGCCAAAGGCAACAAAAGATAAGAAAAACAAAACGGATTAGACCCTTGAAATGATAAAGAATACAAATAAGAACATGGATTCATCACAGGTCACAGAGCATCGCAAATGATAATCCAAGATAACCAACGAAGACATTATTATGAATCTTTCTGACAAAATTTCCTCGGCATCAACCATAGAAACTTTAATTAGAGGAGGATAATATCAATTCATGCCAGTATCAGATCATTGACTTTCTTTTTAGGCAGCTCTGCAGATTTCATAGCAGCGAAAAATCAATCTTTAGCTTTTCAACTTGCTAATTTGGGCTACGATGTGTGGCTAGGCAATAATCGTGGCAATACCTATTCCAGAGCACATACTATATTAGATCCAAATGACGGCAGTACGTTTTGGGAATACAGGTAAACTAAACAAAATTTTATCTTCTTTGACTCTATGGATGCACTTATCGCATATTCAAAATCAATACCTATATTTTCCCATTATTTTTTACAAGGAAAATGCTTGAAACTTCGAAAAAAAAGTCATGTATATATATACTTTCAAATTATTGGTTTTTTAGCCCTGATCATGGCACTCCAGGGTTCCGAAATTGTTGATAGATGATTGATATAATTTAATAAGCTGTGAGCTTTCATAACAATACAATTATTACCATTTAAGTGGGAAGTGTAAATTCTAGAATATATTTTTAATGTTTTATGAATCATTTTCAGCTTCCATGAAATTGGATTTTACGATTTGCCAGCCATGATCAACCACGTTTTAGCTAAATCAGGCACTGATAAACTCACCTATGTGGGATTGTCACAAGCGTGTCCAGCTTTTATGGTGATGAGCGCTTTGAGACCAGAATATTCTAAGAAAATTGTTTTGGCCAATTTTTTAGCTCCAGTAACAGCTTATGCAGCGAAAAGTATCATCTATAAACTATGGTCGACCTTCAATTATATGATTAGAGTAAGTGTAGATGTAGGCCCTAATTTAGGTTCAGCAATCGTCAATTGTATTTCAGAATAAGCAAATAATTTAAGCAGGAATCACATCTATTGTCTGTAGTTTGCCTACACAGTTGATTTTCTGGTTATGCCTTGTGAGACTTTGGAGTGGAGAGAAGCAACATTCTATCCTGTCACTTCAATGGTTGCGTCTCCATAATCATCTTTTTGAACATACAATGTAGAAGTGTGGAAGCGTCTTGCAAAGTTAAGGGATGTAATATCGCTCAGTCTCACACCTCTTTATGACTTCACTGCCGAAAGAGGCTCATTTTTCGGGTCTCTGGTATGTTCATGAAGTTTTACTCCACATACAATTCCTCGTAAAGTTCTCTCCCGTTTCTTAGCTGTAAAGTTTCCATTTTTGTTAACTTTTCTCAATTTCTTTCTTGAGTTTTCTCAGCTGCCCGGGTTTTTTTCGCATGCCTCCAGACTTCTTTTTTTTTAGGCTTTATCTTCTTATCTTCTTAGACCTTATCACTTGTTGTCACCTCCTGTTTCACATTCATTTTCCGGTTTCTCAATGGCTGTTCTTATTTGATGATTTATCTTGTCGACATCTAAATTTTGTTCTTGTAAATTCAATAAATTTGCTGAGCTTGTTCTAATGAACCGTACCGTTCTGCATTTTGCGGTGATTGGTTTCCTTTTTGCTGCATTTCGTAACAACTTTGTCCTTTCTTGCCTTACTTTGAAAATTATTTTTGCTCGTTTGATCACTGCCTTCATCCAAAGAAGTCACATCTTAGAGATTTTCATATTAGAGAAGATGAAGTCAATATCGGTCTTTAAGACTCCATCGCAGCTGGTCCACTCTCAATGGGGATTTTTTGAAGAACTTGCATGTAAGTTGCTTTGTTACGAAAATTTCAAAATTAGTTGCTTTTTCTTGTTTCTCTGGTCATATCATCAACTTCTGACTGATTTTTTGCCACCATTATTTTCCTTGATTGATTTCCAGTCTGACATTAAAGATTCTCATTTATGATGGAATAACGACTATTGTAGAGCTGTGTTGATATCGTCGTTGTGGACCTGTAATTTTTAATGAATACGTTATATACCTAGTATTAATTTTGAGGATGAGAAATGCGACTCAAGGACCATGGTTTTTGAGCTCAATATCTACTACGAATCCCATTGGTTAATGTTGTCTGCTTCACTTATTACAGTAAATGACCTGACTGTTAATTGCTGTTCTTCTTTCTTCTTATCCTTGACTGATATCGCCGCATTTCAAGTCCTAGCATACCTGTAGTTTATAGTTTGATAACAGAGTTCTTCGGTTATACGTAACAATTTGCAGTGATCGTTCCTTGTTGATCAACCCCGGGAATTCTTAGCATCGTCTACTGGCTCTTTTATCGAACTGATACCTTGGCTGACAGACTGGACTGGAGGACGTTTTTTCTTCGGTTTCCTCACGGGAATTTCAACTATTCATATTATCACATAATCACACTGCCTTCTATCTACTGATATTGGATCTGCTATTACGTCATATTCCATCGGATATTTGTTCAGTCCGGTTTTAGTGCAACAGAGATGTCTCCTTTCAACCGTTCTTTTTTGACCATGTTCATATAAAAACTATACCTGATATCGAATTGAATTTCCGAATGATAATTTCGAAGATGTGCAAACACCCATCATCATTCCTAAAGCTACAAAATAAGGTGGAGTATCTGTTATGCTAGAAACTCTTGAACTGTGGAACAAGCCCGAGAGTCCACTTCAAGAGACAATGATATTATTCTAAATATCTTGAAGGAATTGTCACTATGGCCTATGTAACGTTAGCAAAGCGGTTAGAAGTGAACACGATAGTTAGCTATACAGGGTGTTTCACGATTATTGAAACACAGGCGTTTAAGGAAATTTTAAGGTCGATTAAAAGAAAACCGCTCAAGGGGAAAACTTTTTGAACCAGTATTCCGCTAAGGTGGGGTGATGTTTTTAATCTGAATAATTTGGTAGGTACAGGTAATTAATCTATATTTGACGATTTCTGAAATACCATATACCTAGAAACAAATTCATCACGAAAATCATTTTTTAAATTTTATTTTAGTGGGTCATATATTTTCGTGGATACTTTGAATTTCTTGGAGAAGGCAGAATAGAAACCGCAATTCTCAGATACATTTGCTTGGGTCCACATAAATTGGGAAATTATTTATGCTTTGAATTCGTATTGTCATATCTGGTTGGACCATCGAAACAAAAAGATTATGTAAGCAATAATTATTTAGTTGATTATTCATTGTGCAATTTATGTTGGGTCGATTTTTAGGACATCATTCCTTTTTTTATGTCGGTCACTCCCGCCGGTTGTTCTGTGAAGCAAGTTGAACATCTTATGCAAAATATGATGTTAGGTACTTACCTTTATATAAATTCAACATTACCATATTTTATCACTAAGTAACAATTTTCAGCTAAATTTGCTTATTTTAACTACTACGAACAAAATCAGGACGTGTATGATCAGGATGTTGCACCGGTTTATGATATTACTAACGTAACTACTCCGCTGGCTATTTATTTTGGAAAAGCTGATATATTAGCGAATGTTGAAGTAACTTTATGTTTAAAGATTAAGATATTTTGTTTTATATAATTTTTTTCTAGGGAATATATCGTCAATACAAACTAATGCAAAATGTGGTCCTCTACTACAGAGTCGAATCTAACGATTTCAATCATATGGACTTTGTTTATGCGAAGGACTTGAATAAGCACCTTAACAACAAAGTAATAGAAACTATTGATGTCTATAACAAACCAAAAATATAGCTGATGAATGGTTCAATTTAATGTGTATGTTTTTCATTGGATGAAGTTGTTCTTCTTTATTAAATAGTTTTCAAATTGATAAATCTTGATTTATTGATTGATAAAAAAAATCAATAAACCCCTGGCCCCTGGAAGTTATTTTGGACTAAATTGAAGGAGGAAATTATTCTATCTGGCGAAACTCTTCCTAGCTGATCCAGTTTTCAAATTATTGAATATTTTAATGCAAAAAAAAAACGGGGTACAAAATCTGGTAGTAGCAGGAGAACTGCCATGTTAAGAAGCAAATATATCAGTAAAAAAAATATATTATAGATGGTTCAGCTGTCAGGATTTGGAAGCTGAAAATAATTATTGTTTTAATGACATAGATGACATCTTTATTCCACTTTAATTCACCCTGTATATAGAGGAAAGATAAACCTACTTAGAGGTAATCAATAATAGTTTTCTTTCAATAGTTATTAATTACATACTTATCCAATATGTCAAATAAGAATCACATATATATGGGATAGGTACTCAATCTCCATTACCTACTTTAGGATTTTTGCTCTTAGCTAGGTACCTATAAGAAAAACCGTTGAATAATTCCAGTATTAAATTGCAAAAAATTACAAAAATGAGTATGATCAAACCGATTCAATTCCAAATACAGAAATGTTCGCTTGTTTTGTTACTTTTTCAGGAGAGTGCTGTAAGTATTTTATTTATTTATTTTTGAGTCACATGCCAAATCTATTATTTAAAAAAACCCACTAATTAGACAAAATTTTATGTATAAGAAACATCAAATGGATTAGGTGGATGAGGTTTTGATTCCTTAGGAACTCCTAAGTGATGAGGCGATTGTTCAATTTCAATATCAGATTCCACAATATCACTTGTTCTTGGTTTTTTTAAAAGGTTTGCTGACTGGATACGTTGATTGAGGATCTGAAATCATTATTAAATATAAAATAAGCCAACATTTGTCTAGACAAAAGAATCTCGGAACTTTTAAATTGAGATAAATCTTAAGTAAAATTGTAATATTTTTAACTTACTTGTTGTCGACGTATTTCTGCTTCTTCCAATTTCTCCTTTATATCTTCCAGTGTAACTTGCGCTTTATTTTCCGATTCCTGCAGCTCTATTATTCTTTTTGGAATAGGCTTTTGAGCCGCATCTCCAGCTCTATCATCGGTTTGATCGAAACTTATTTCAAAAGACATACCATGCTCTAATAAAATAAAGCTAGTAATATATTTCATAAAAAATGTTTTATTTATTAGGTATACCTACCAGCTTTTTGAAAGTTATTAACATTGGCATTCTCTAATTCTTCTATTTGAAAATCTGGTTCTGATTTATTTTTGGATTCTATTTTTTTGCTTTGGCTAAAAATTCAGTAAGGTGAAACAAATTAACAAATATCGCTGTTGAAGAAGTGTTGAGGGTATACTATGTAGGTAGGGTCCCCAAACAATACCTACGTTCATCAAAAGTGTGGGGCAAAAACCCTAGCAAATGTCTGTTTGAAAATAGTTTTATAGTGAAAACTAATTATGACTTCTGGACTTTATAGGAAAAAAAGCGTTGTGTTATGACAATCATGATGATAATAACGATGATGATGAATATAATTTGCACACTCAAAAACAAGTTGTACTCATCATCACCCAGATTATCAGTTCATGATTTTTATTTCTGCGACCTTTTTATGTGACAGTATAAGTCACGGTCTTATCTATTTAATCTGAATTACTAGATCATGTGGTAAGAAATATAATAATTGATAGAAAAACACAAAATTGCCATAGAACCAGGCGTATGGAGAAAGTACCTGCAATTCAAAAGAGTCAACGATGTATTTATTGTTTGTTGATATAATTTATAAGCATTTTTAAATAAGTGAAACTAAAAAAATTAGGTACTACCTTACCTTATTTTCTCCCTAACATCATTCGGACCACCAATCTCTTTTCCATCTATCGGTACAACTGCGACATTTTTAGCTGCATTACAACCCATTTTTCATGGAAAGAATTAAAGGTAAAATCAATAAGATTCGAATCGATTCCCTATCACCTGGAAAAGCCAAAACATGTGGGTATTTGATTATTTTTGTAGAAGTCGTGTGGAAATCATATTAAATTCATTACTTGCAAACCGACAAAGATGTGATTTGAACAGATTTTTTTAATAGCGCAGCTTCTATTTAGAATTTTTTATGATTGTCATCAAGAGATGATCTCTCCCTGATTCATTCTCATTATCATCTTTACAATAAGACGCACAGAAAAGACATAGAAAAATAATTTTGCATTTTCAATAAGATGTTATTAGCAATAGGATCTATTTATTTTTGGTTATATTGTCTTTGAGTTAAATATAATACTGAATACATTAGGCCAAATAAGCATATGCGTATTTTTCAAATGAATATAGGTAGTGAAGTCAATAATAGTATATATTCACATATTTATTTTTTGTCTTCGGATTAAATCTTCGTCATGTTTATAAGTACCTAGTTTAGTACCTAGGTATGTATATTTAATCTAATTACATATTTTATAGAAACAATATTGGTATATCATCGTTATTGTGCACGAATTCCGTGGTCAACCTAGATGCACCCCCTTCTTCTCAACTTCTATACCTACTCTTCGATGCATAATCATGCCATCATCATTCTCCATCTGCATGCCTGCAACCTACCTTGTCTGGATATGCAGATTTTTTTGTGTTCCAATTTGTTAGCATTGTATTGCCAGTATTTCCCGCAGGTTGAGAAATGGTTTTATGTCAGTATCTTCTAATTGATCACTTCTAGGCGGTTGGAAACTCCGTTCTTGATCCAGCATGCTCTGCGTTATAATGCATTTTGTACTATCCATTTCTTGTCGAAAAGTTCCAAGTTCCTGACCAACAATTCCATCTTCCTGATTGTCTGATTTGTTCCATGAAATTTGAAATTTTCCTGAAGCTCGTCCTCTTTTTGTTTGTTTTCGAGCTGCCATTTTTAATTTACCTATATTTTTATCTCCGATTTTTTTATTGTAAAAGTAATGCAAGCTGGTTCTATTTTCTTTGTCTCTCGGGCATCTTTTTCTTGCCTCTCTGTTAGTCTTCTTGTTTTCGATTTTTGAGTGAAGTCTAGCCTTATTCCGCTTGCTTGCTGTCGCGTTTCCAACATTATATATTTCTTGAAACTTGTTTTCAAATATAAAGTCCAATGGCGAAATCAGAATTTCCGTACCTTGTCTAATTCTCGAACAGAAAATGAAGAAATGTTCTGGAAAAATCTCTGGACTTGTTTCTAGATTTCGAAACTATTTCAGGTTTGAACAAGTTTACTTTTTGTTCCCTCAAATTAATATAGTTGTCTTGTTAATTATCCCACCTCTGACTCTAGAAAATTCACTCATCATTAATTTGTGTGACCATCAGAATAAAAACCGTTCCGGAATATTCCTGCGCCGGTCGTGTACAGTGGCGTCCATTTTTTCCGCACCAATTTAATTTCATGACAATATGTTGAGTTTATTGACAACATTTGAGAGTAAATTGCGAAGAGTTGGTGGGATATTAGTCAATAAAATACCTCCGAAGCTCAAATTATTTATCTATTGATCTTCAGGATTCTTACATTACAAGATTGGTACCTACCTACAGTTTATTTTTTCCCAAGATAGATTTTGACAATGACAACTTTGAAACATAAACAATGCCGCTCATTGGTCGCAAGATGGCCATGTACCTACATTCGACGAAAGTATCGTTTTCCAACTATGTAAAAGGATACCTCACCTGCAAGGACACGGCATTTTGCGACCAATCACAGCCACGCGGTATTGTTTATCTTTCAAAGTTGACAATGTCAAAATCTATCTTGGGAAAAAATAGAGTGTAGTTAATCACCTTAGTATAGGAACATTTCATTTAATATATTTTTTGAATGCAAGCAATTCTTTGAAAGAAAACTTAAGGAATTGGAATTTTTATTTTACAAAGGCTCACATTGAAAATACATATACAAAACATTAGCGCATATTTTACATAGCCACAATTTTTAATAAGTCACTCATGCATTATTCAAACCTGTGACTTATTAGCCTATCCAAAACACGTGACTTTGACAAGCAAAATATGGCCGGCAGAAGGAACACAAACTACTATTTACATGCACTATTCAAATACACTATTCCCTACATTTAAAAAAACAACAGGTTCAGGTTTAACAACGCAAATAATTCACAATTAGCACTATTTAAAACTCATAACCAGTGGCGGCTCGTGGTGTCCAAATAAGGCTGGGCGACAAAAATAAAAAACAGCCGTAGGCGAATTTTTTTTAGATTTCCAAGCTCTCAAATATTGTATTAAAAGCATTTTTTATTTTCCCATTTTTTCTCCAGGGTGGCGGTGCCCACCTTGCCCATATGGGCGAACCGCCACTGCTCATAACACCATTTGATAACACATAAACAAAGGGTTTGTGTGCCTCTTGGCGGACATTTTAATTTAAGTTTGACAGCATCTTCGATAGTCTAATTAGAAAACTCTTTTTCCAAAAGTTTAAAAGTAAGTTTCTTTTCTTATGCCCCAAATTACAGTTTAACATTTATTATTTTATAATGGAGTAACTTGATTTTTGAATTCATTTTTTAACTTACTTATGTTAATATATTAAATAGGTAGTTAAAATTACTGATTAGGTTTGAATATAGGTACGTTTGAACAGAATAGTATCATATATTTGCTTCTGTGTTCACACTTATTTTAAAAAATATCTAGGTACTTAAGTACATTCAACCTTATTATAAAAATTAATTTCTGTTATAGGTATCATAAGTAAAACAAGAAGAACATAAAAATTTCGTTTTTTTCTACCATTATTGACACACAATACATACTTACCTAGCTCATTTCATACCATCACATGGATAATAATATAAAAATCAATATTCGAATATTGGACACACAACGTCCACTATAGACAAACTAAAAGCTTCAACTCTAAACTTTTAGTTTTACCACGAAAAGTATTATAAAACCCTTTCTGACATGCGCTTGTGCGTGATACTATGAAAAATGATTATTGTATACCTAATAGATATTGTGGTGATTATAAAGTTAATAATCAAAGGCCTGTTCTTTTGTCAGCACGAAATTGGTTTTAGGGATTTTTTTTTTAGTTAGATAGATGTCGATGTCCTGATGTATGATATAGGTTGATTGTCCTGGAAAATTTCCTGTTTAAAGTATAGTAGGTATAGGAGGAAGATAATCATGAACTTCTGGCTAGACTTTATCAACTGATGCAATTTTATGGAAGTATTGTGCAATTACTGGCCTTGTGCAAATAAATAATACTGCTACAACAATAAATTGGGGTGGAGAAGTCAGCGCCGATGTTAACGAACGGAGTGCGAATGTCCTGGGGTGCGATTTTCGAATCCATTCGAGTACATTTCGTACACGAAATTTGACTGACAGCAATGTAAATTAAATGGGGAGCAGTCAAATTTCGTGCACGAAATGTACTCGAATGGTTTCGAAAATCGCACCCCAGGATTTCAATAAACAAACATTTACGTGATTGTTGAGACTCGATTGAATGGTTTCGTATATAAAGCGCATTGTTTGTAAGTTAATCCAAAAAGAAAGAGAATAGAAGAAGAAAAAGCATACTGATAGGAGAAATAAAAGACACAATAATGGAGGAACTTCTGGAAAAATAACGAAATGATTTTGTATTTCAAGCGCGAGGTTTGTAAATCAGTCAGTCGGTCAGTTTTGAATATGAAAATGGTTGTACAAAGTTAATTTAAAAGCGATAAGTGAATTCTTATTCTTACTAAACTGAATACCAACAATAATGGCAAAATTTCAAAACTTATATATCTGCTGGTACACACTGAGGAAAACCACCTATCCTATTTAAAATATTATTTCTCCAAATCTTAACTTTTTAAAACGTTTCCTATAGAAAAGCAAATGGTGAATGTTGCAACCATGTATGCGCTGTGATATTTTTGGAAACGGGGGCGCGCCATAGGAAAAGCGTAGGTACCGAAGGGTAGATAGAAAATGAGAAACTAGAAGCTTGTATAACTTAGACCGCTTGTCCGCCATTATTCATTATTCAATATTTATTTTGTATTAAACCTATTGTTTTATCCAATTTGTGATTAGTTTGTGTGTCATAAGGAGCATTCACAGGTCAGTTGAATAATTATTATTCTGTTTTTGAGAGTTCAGTTTATACAAGTACCTATTATTTTTTTATTTTTATGTTTTCTTATTGTTTATAACAATTCTTATAACATGTGCATTGTGCATGTATTTAAACAAAAGTCGTTTCATGCTGTGAACAACGTAGATTTAGTAAATTAAAACCTATGAAATTATGTGCTGGGATTTTAATTTTCGGTATTTAAAGCGTACATTAGGGCCTTGTTGAAACTACTATCATTTTCCTACCTTGACGAGTGAATATCGTGGAAAACAAATTGAAGAATCAATCTAGAACTATTGGCTCAAAATAACAACTATAGCTGAGTAGCCTCCCGTAACCAGGGATCTCAGTACCTGCTGGTGGAACTGGCTAACTAACCAAAAACTCTTCTGTATTGAATATAGGTAGTGTTGATTAAATGTGGTGTGTGGAAATAAAATTTTAGCACAAGGACAGAGGCGGTATCTAATTTAAACTTTTATTGACTCAAAATTATTTATAAAAATGATACAGTATGTTCTGATTTTTGAAGAATGTTAGATCGAGGGTTTTTCTGCCGTGCTCTTCACCCTTCGTGAGTTCCAGGTCGAGAACGGTACGACTTTCTAATGATTAATATTTCACAAATTTTTCGTTTATTTTACATAGCACAACTTCCCTTAAATTTATTTCCCTAATTTTGCTATTATCAGGCGCATGTCAAGTAAGTAAAATTGAGTAAGTTTCGACAACGTAGGTCCTATTTTGTTTTTTATTTCGATTTTCAGAAGATTTGTTAAAGAAGAGATAGGTAATGAAAATTCTAACCGTTCAATCTTGCTGAACGAACCCGGGTATGTTATACTATAACACCGAACTCATATACCCAAGAAAATGTCCGATATCCAGACAGTTCGTCTCCAAGTGAGTTGTAGGCATATCTGAAAAGTAAATATTTTCGCCATTTTCAAAATCCACTGTTTTGAGCTTAATCATAGCAATAGCTCGACATAGGTACCTCCGTCCAATATGGAATTCAATTTGAACTGAGGCAAGCCTCAACATCACACCCCATTCCCCCAAGTCTTGTAGGTACTTACTCAACTTCATTTTAAAATTTCGAATATAAACCAAAAATCGAAGACAGTCAGCGAAGAAAGTCTCGAGGTAGCTCCAAACCTATTTTGACTTCAATAAAAAACTGTTTAGAAATCACTAAGCGACTTTTTGTCGCTGAGAACTCTTTAATTATAACGAAGGAAGACTTTAAGGAATAATTACTATATAAAAGTATATTTTTTGGGATGCCATTAAGGTGTGACTAGTGGTTATAAAAACCCTGAAAAATCTTTGTAGATTTTCTTATACGCGAAGTAACTAATATATTACCAAAGAATGAGGATGATAGAAGCTCTAAAAACGACTATAGAAAAACAGCATTTACTTTGATAATCCGAAAAGCCACTATATATACCTATACTGACAAACCTCATAAATTTTCAAATGCAAATATCTTCCACACTACAAACATACCTGACTTCAAGATTCAAATGCTCATTGCCGACCGTTTACAGTAAATTATTGGATTAATTACACGTATGCACTACGCCCATATATTTAACTTTTTTTTTTCTTGGTTACTGCACTGTGACCTTACCTATCTGACCGTGGTGTGGCTTCCCTTTTTTACGGCCTCGCAGAATCTGAGTTGAATAACGGCCAGCGTATTCATCTCAAATGTTTTTTTTTTCCCTTTCGAGATGCTCGACGAACCCATCCTTCCATTTACCCGATGCAGGTGCAAATTGAATTGACCTCAAGCAGGAAATTGTGACTTACCTACTAGATGGATGTTATTTTTTTCAACTGCTGGACTTTACTGCTATTACAATATTACAGCTGGGTTAATTTATTTATGGTATTTTTCTACCCAAAAGTTTCCTAATCTTATGAAACATGAGAATAATTGACCTACGGAAGAAAAGTGAGAATACGGAATCAGTCTTATAGAAATTTTAATATTTTACTTGAACTTTTCAATTTTTGGAGCTCCCAAATCATTTTTTACGTGATAGACTGGTGGACATTTTCAGAATTTTTACTCCGAGCGGCATTCGGCAACTTGACGTTTCTAGGGTATTTCGACCCCGCTGAATCCGAATCCGGATGTTGCTAAGCCGAATTTTTCCACCAAAGGCCTCAAATCCGAGATGGCGCCCAAACTATAAGGGCCTTAATGACATTTTTCTTGAAGTGTATCGTTATTGACCGGCGAGATATCGTTTCATATGTTTTTGGGGTCGCTGAACATGAATATGAGTACCGGAAGTCGATTCGGATACCGGCGGAAGTACCATAATTCAAGATGGCGGCCGTCGGGGAATTAAATACAGAACTTTCAGAAGTTGGCATATTGTCAAGTGCGGCGTATCGGCACATACGTTTTTGACATCGACTAGATCAAAAATAAGCACCAGAAATCGATTAGGCAACCGGAAGTATCTTAATCCAAGATGGCGACCAGTTGGGGCCCAAATATCAAACTTTAAAAAGTTGCTATAATATGACGTGCTGGGTATGATCACAAGGAGATCGCTGAACACGAATTTCAGGTCGGAAAAGCGATAGGAAACATGTTAACACAGGTTTGTCGAAATAAAATAGTAATAGTATATACTTTGAGGGGTAAACAAAATGCACAAAACATTTTACATACTAACATCATCACTGTCATTGTTGTTTTCGCAGTGTGCCTGACACTTGCAGAACTTGGTGCAGACCTCTCCCTCCCTCCTGTACTTGCTTAAGCCTGAACCGCACCCTGACCTGCAGCCACAACTGAGTAACTGCGTGCAGGGTGGTGTAGACTGGGATGTAATTCTCCTCCAGACGCCATCCGTACCGGCAAGGATCAGGAAGGTCTGGCCTTGCTATATGTGCAGTCAGCCATACCCCGGCAGGTAGGTATCCAGTTTACATTTTTTACATATATTTCTGCTGCACTAGACACTTATTCAAATTCATATTACAGGTATAGGAAAGAGAGGTGCTCTAGTTGTATATCGTACACATTCCAAGTTTCTTGATGGACTCGCAGTTGCAGAAGTTCAGGAGAGATTTTTGTCAAAGTGCGAGCAATTCATGGTACTTTTGTACAAGAGAAGAGAAAAGTCCTGAATTGCTCCCAGCTACGTCTGATGCAGCCCGTCTTCACATTCTCCGAGCCACCTACCAAGCTGGGGTCTGGCTGAATGCACAGCAAGGTCAGACCTTCCTGATCCTTACCGGTACGGATGGCGTCTGGAGGAGAATTATATCCCAGTCTACACCACCCTGCCAGCGGTGCCCAAGTCCTGCACGCAGTTACTGAGTTGTGGCTGCAGGTCAGAGTGCGGCACAGGCTTCTGCAAGTGCAGGAGGGAGGAAGAGGTCTGCACCAAGTTGTGCAAGTGTCAGGCAGACTGCGAAAACAACAATGACAGTGATGATGTATTTATGTAAAATGTTTTGAGCATTTTGTTAACCCCTCAAAGTATAGTTGTACTATTTTATTTCGGCAAACCTGTGTTAACATGTTTCCTATCGCTTTTCCGACCTCAAATTCGTGTTCAGCGACCTCAAAACACTTGTGGTCATACCCAGCACGTCATATTATAGCAACTTTTTAAAGTTTGGTATTTGGGCCCCAACCGGTCGCCATCTTGGACTACGGTACTTCCGGTTGCCTAATCGATTTCTGGTGCTAATTTTTTATCTAGTCGACGTC